CCCCCCCCCATCTGCCCTGGCTGCTGGACTCCCTTCTGTCTGCCTCTTGCCTCCTTCCCCTCGCTGCCCAGCGCTCCCTGCTCCCTCCTGGAACCCCTCTCCCTCCCACTATCGCCATTCTCTGGCCCATGGAATTATTTGGAGAGCAGGACTGTCTCGTTGCTCTTGGACTGTTACTCTCTGCCATTTGCTCTAAAACCCCTTTTCCTAGATACCTGCTGTTGAGCTGACTTTCTCTTTCCCGGAACTGGTTGGAATCTCTCCTGACTACCCTCTCGGACAGTGGCTTCGGTCCTGTTTGTTTTTGAATCTGAATAAAATCTTGTTATCCCTGCAACAGATTCCTCTTCTTTTACCACCCCTGACAAAATATTTGCAGGCTACACGCATGTGTTTTAACTGATAGGTTAGCCTATAGCACAGCGTCACAAATTCTGCGCGCCATCTTCAAACCTACTATCGTTTCATTGAGACGCGTGAGCCGTGATATTTACTGTTTCAACTGATAGCTAACACGCCACAAGTCTTACGGCAAGAAAATCAAAGAGACTCCCCAAAACATTAGCTTTCATTCCAGTTAGATATTTGTGTACGCATACGCGTGTGTGTGCGTTTTAACTGATATAGCATGCTAGAAGTTAAGATTGACAAAAATAAAAGACCGATTAAAGGAATTAGGCTACTAAATTAAGTGTGAATAACTAAACTAAAATAAAATAAATCAAACCAAACAACATTTTCCTGTGGCTTAGAGGTGATTGTTTAGAAGAAAACTTGTGTAACCTCATTAAAAAAAAATTAAAAAGTCTGGGGTTATATAGCACGCAAGAAGTCTTACGCTTGACAAAAACCAAAGAGTAAATAAAGGAATTACTAAATTAAGTGTGAATAACTAAACTAAAATAAAATAAATCAAACCAAACAACATTTTCCTGTGGCTTAGAGGTGATTGTTTAGAAGAAAACTTCTGTATCCTAATTTTAAGGAATTACTAAATTAAGTGTGAATAACTATGTTTTTCTACAGGAGGAAAACGCTTAACGAGTGACTTTGTGCATTGCGTTCATATTCTGCTGTTCTGTGGCCACGGATTTGCAGACCTTGTCTTTTTCTTGCAGGACCCTGTAGGTTACGGTACTAAATTAGTTTTAATCGTTTAATCACCACCACAGCGTCTTGTCTCCATTGGCAACACGCACGATTTGTGTCGATTGCAAGTGACGTCGCAGGTAGCGGAGAGTGCAAGTGAAGATTACAAGTGACTTTGTAATTTAGTTTCTTTTTTCTTGTCTTCACCACCTGGCTACTGTTGCAAAATGTTGAGAGATTCAAACAAGAAGTAATCAATAAATAGAACAAAATAAAAAAATAAAAGACTGCAAGTGACGTCGCTAGCGGAAGCGCAAGTGTCTGAGAGTGCAAATCTGAGAATGCAAGTCTGAGAGTGCAAGTGCAAGGCTGCAGCCAGACCCTTCTCGTTAGGGGTGGGTTGTAGGTGTGGCCTGAGCGGTGCGTTCCTGAGCTCATTCCGTGTTTTGACAGCAGCGTGTGAGGATGTGTCTGACGGAAACAACGTATGATGCGCGGGTCTTCTTATTTTGTTTAACTTGCGACAAACTCAAACTAGTTTTTAAATTGTATCTAACGGTAGAGTACAACATAGATTTTGACAAGTATCTTATCCTGTCGCTTAACGTTTTTCTTTTTTCTTTTCTAACTGGTAACAAGCTCTAACTTAAAAATTGTACAGAGAAAAACTGACGTATTTTTTATCTGTAAGGATACTTTTTTGTTTTAGATCAGGGTAAGATGGTCAGCATTTTTATTTTATTTTCTAACTGGTAACAAGTTCTAACTTTTAAAAATTGTAACAGAAAAACTACCGTATTGTTTAACGAACGTATCTGGAAGGATACTTTTTGTTTGTTTTAGATAGATGGTCAGTGGATTAATTTTCTTTTTATTTAACTTTGTCAAATTCTAACTAGTTTTTAAATTGTTTAACAACACTTAAATGATCGTCTTGACCCATTTTTACTCTTTACTGGAAAAAACAGTCATTAGGCCTACATTGTTTCTATTCCGTGTATGTTTGATGTTTTTCTTGAAATGTGTGTGTAAAACTTTAATAAAAACTTCCCTTACCCCCGTTTAATAATCATACTACGTTTCACATTTTAAAGTTTAAAGCACATAGTTTTGAATAGTTTCAACGGACCCACACAAAAACACATTCCCAAACAATCATACATTCCTTGGGATCGCTGGGGTGGATAAACAGATGGCCAGTTAGATGGGTGGGGGGTGTACAGAAACAGTTGTACAGAAACAGGTGTCCATTTATGGTAGGAGGGAGGTTTTTTTATGACCCTCATCAATCAAATTTTTGACACATAGTCGACTATACTCTCTCTAATGCATCTCATAATCTTGTACTGCAGTTATATCTGATCAAATGCACATTATTATTCTTTAGTTTGGGTTAAACAAATACATTTTGCTTGGTTGGAAGAGCAGCTACGCTAATTATGTCTCTTTTCGTCTCTCTGTTTTTGCCACGGGTAACTAGGATTTACACAAGCTTCAGTCTGGATCCAGAAATTACGAAAATCTTTTCATATGCATATGTGTTATGAATAAATTGATTTTTGATGGTTAACATTGTTGTCATTTTAACTGAAATACTCCTAATTATTTTTTATCACAGATCTACTTACATGGTGTCAAGTTGCAGAGGTTTTAACAAATCAGCTAACAGATTTGGGTCAAAATGTGATCATGAACTGTGATCTTGACTTAAAGGAGGTGACATGGTTGGTACTAAATTTACCAGATCCTCCGGTTCTGATATTACGCTCTTTTTCAAACCCACCAGCAACATTTTACTTCAATAATAGATTCAAACAAAAATATTCAGTGCAGCCTAAACATATCTGTTAATAAATAATGTCAGTATTGATGAGTTAGGAGTTTTGTCCAAATAATAATAGTAATATAATAAGAATTAAAATAGGACATACTGCATTAAATGGAAATAGAATGAAGAATGGATTATACAGGTGCATCTCAATAAATTAGAATGTCGTGGAAAAGTTCATTTATTTCAGTAATTCAACTCAAATTGTGAAACTCGTGTATTAAATAAATTCAATGCACACAGTGAGTTGATTAGCTGATTGGCATGTCACCATATTCTAATTTGTTGAGATAGTGAATTGGTGGGTTTTTGTTAAATGTGAGCCAAAATCATCACAATTAAAAGAACCAAAGACTTAAACTACTTCAGTCTGTGTGCACTGAATTGATTTAATACACGAGTTTCACAATTTGAGCTGAATTACTGAAATAAATGAACTTTTCCACAACATTCTAATTTATTGAGATGCACCTGTACATGCATTGTGGGATTTTTGAAACTGTAGAACATCTGTTGCATTGTAGAGCATATAACAATGAATGACAAATGCTAGAAGCTAAAGTACTGGAAGAAGGTGGAAGCATGAAGTTAGAAGATATATTAAGTAAGCTACAAAGGAATAAGAATTTGCTTTGTTAAAATATCTAAAAGATACAGGATCTTATATAAAAATATAATGATGTTTGTTTGTTTATTTTTTATGACTATTATTATTATTATTGTTATTTAGTATATACCTACATGTGATACATACTGTATACATGACATGCATCGATGCTCCACACTCCTGTTCAGATGGCGGTAATGCAAAGTTTTCCTCAACATCTCGCGATTTCGGGACACTACTGTAGATGCCATCATTGTTGTAGATCAGTTTTCGCCCTTTTTTCAAATATATCATGGCAATACAGTAATCTCTCAATGACTGTTTTAATAATTTTGAGATGAGGTGAAAAGGACTCCTATTGTTACAGCTGCACCCGCTCATTCAGGAAACTGCACTATGGTCTTACACACACCCAGCCACTGGAGCTTGTTTACAGTTTTGAGAGCCCAGCCGTCTGAAAATCTTCTGCGCCACTATAGGGAGCGCGAAGCGAAAGTAAAAGAAATGGCGCCATTTTGAGGTTTTAAACAGCTGCGTATTTTGTGGCAAGGTAAGAACGTATTCCTCGTTTAACCAGTAGTCATGAAAATGCTGATTGTCATTACAAAAAATAACTCCCGCTTTTAACTAATGCCTGCGTGATGCGTTCAGCACAGTACAAAAGCAGGTCAGAATAATACTACGTTTCTGCTGCATCCAAATTTCCACACAACTAGTACTAAATATGTAAAATGTTTTAAAACTACACAAAATGTATTTATTGCGACCTAATTTCCAGTTCCTGCTATACATTAATGGTGGAAAAACAGTACGAAATAAGTGCATGAATGCAACAAAATTATCTAAACAGCAGCAACGCTAGATTATTGAAATTAAACAGTAAATATTAGTGAAGAGTCTTTTAGACTCTTCTTCTAGAAGAGTCACATTAAAGAGTTGAATCAAGTCAAGTCAAGTCAAGTTGAGCTTTATTGTCAGTCTGCTACATGTGGGGACATGTGCCTCACCGGACCACGGTGCTACATAAATACAGACATACAACAATGAAGTAAAACAGTATAACTAACCTAATGACAGATTTTGATTATAAATATACTATATATATAAATGTTTACCTATACATAAACAAAAAAATACAAACTGAACGAATGCTTAATACTGTACCTATACACAACTAACCTACTGACAGATTTGGACTTTAAATATACTATAAATGTTTACCTATACATAAACTAAGAAATACAAACTATAGGAATGCTTCACATAAACACTGTACCTATACACAACTAACCTACTGACAGATTTTGACTATGAATATACCAATAGCAATTGCAGTTCAGTTTAAAAACGACCATGACTTTTAGATTGCAATAAGCTTTAGTTTATGTACTGCAGTGAAGTATATTTCGAATAACAAGGAAGCTAATTAAACTGAGCTCTAACGTTATAGATATGCAACAGCAGATAATGAGTGTATAGGCCTACTTGCTAGTATTTGAGTATATTTAATGCGACTGTACTACTGTGCACTACTTAAAGGGTTAGTTACTGTCATTATTGTCATTTGCTCATCCTCATGGAGCACAATCATTATTAATTTCTTTCACTTTTTTTATTTTTATTTTTTTTACTTTTTTTGCTTAAACATAAAAATCAATCAATCTCCCAATACCTTTTTGAGAAAGATGGACAGTGCCTCCAAAATGAGTCTCTATGAAGAGACAGAAGATGAGGACACTGCCTTTAAAATCAGTTCTCCAGGACCAAGCTGTGATCAACCAATGACCTCTGACCCCAGGTAAGACACTAGAAATTTTTCCATTTGGTGAGCCTTTTCACCACAGCAACATGTACTTCATTCCAGATGTATATTTTCATCTATTTTCTTATCTGTAAATGAATAAATGTAAATGGATTCAAGTTATATACAGACATTAGCCAGTGCTTGAGACAAAAGACTGACAAACAAGAAAATAATCTTATTTTAAAATGCTGTTTTATTGATCTTTTGTCAGCATCACGAGGAGGAAGGAACAGGAATCAGAGTCTCCAGAACCCAGCTTTGTGTCTATGAAGAGTGACATGAAAAAAAAGTGAAGTGACATGTGGTCAAGTATGGTCACCCATAGTAGGAATTAGTGCTCTGCATTTAACCCATCCTTAGTGCACACACACAGCAGTGAGTTGAAATCATGAGTTTAAAGCTAGTCGATGGCGCGTCTCCAGTAAAGCTGAACTCTCCACCTGTCCGCATTCAATTCACACAGAGAACACGCGATCATGCAGGATACACATGCACACTTCACAAGATCTCACAGCTGGATTTGACCAAGTTTGCAAGATTTTTTTAATTAAATGTTCATTAGTCATTCAAAGATTTGTTTATGATATAAATACGTATTTGCCGAATGCTGACGGAAAATGAGAAAGTATTATAATGTTTGCCATTCTATAACTAATAATATAAAAGCAACCATTATAATACTGTGATGTTGCTATAGATGTTGAAGGACATTTGTTAATGTCATGATGTTAAGCAATGTTCATTTTAGCAATAACTGGTTATAGCTGTTAGTCTTTGTTCACTTTAAGGGGCGGGGATAGTCCGGCGCGGCGGGAGGACGGGCTAGAGAGAGTTCAGAGTTAGTTGGGAGAGAGAGAGCACAGAGCGGCGAGCGCTTTTCTTTCTTGTTTTCCTTCTGTTTCCTTCGGCGTACGGCGTGGGTTACGGCCATAACAGTAACCCTCCTTCAGTGCTTTAATAAAGTTACAGAGCGACTGAGAACGCCTGGTTCATTAGTAGCAAAACGCTGCAATACTTTTTTTGTATACATTTTAATTCCTTTGTTTAACAGTTTTTCTGATTATTAGACAGATTTCTGTCTGTATTAGAACTGTTAACTATGACAGCAAACAAGGAGAATGTGAGCACTGTGTGCTCAGGCGCTGCCGTTCTCAGTGCTGTCAAAATAAAAGTCCCGCCTCGAACGCATCGACCTTGGCAATATATCGGTCGACCACTACAAGATGGTTGCTTGAAAAAACCATCTTGTACACCAGCTCAGTTTTCATGCTTTGGGAGACTGTATAAAGGAAAATTAGCTTCCCAGAAAACACCATAAAATGACCACTGACCCCAGCCAAGACACTAGAAATTTTTGCATTTGGCAGACTTTTTCCAAAGGAACTCACAATGCATTCAAGATATATAATTTCATTTCTTTTCCGATCTGTACCCCTCTGAACAATCTTGGAGCTTTGTATTTCAGCAGTTTTCATGTCACTGAATCTATTTGTTGTATCCCATCTTTGTAAATTGATTTGGATAAAAGCTCCTTCTAAATTAATAAATTTAAATCAAAGTAGAATACAAGCTATATAAAGACATTAGCCAGTGCTTTAAACAAAAGACTGAAAAACTTGAAATTGGTCTGTTTTATTTTAAAATGCTGTTTTATTGATCTTTTGTCAGCATCATGAGGAAGGAACAGGAATCAGAGTCTCCAGAACCCAGCTTTGTGTCTATGAAGAGTGACATATCCATGATGCCACCCCCTGGGTTCAGTGATGGACCTGTGACCTCTGCCCCTCCGTTAGTATAAATATTTACTTGCTAATTTACTGTAGTGCATCTCAAGTGAATAATGATGTAAGAAGCAATGAAATAACATCAAATATAATCCAATATATGCAATATGCACTGCACGGGGCTTCAAACTCATAACTAGTAACCACAATTCCAAAAAAGTTGGGACACTGAAAAATTTCAATAAAAACAGAATGCATTTGCAAATGTCATAAACCCATATTTTATTCACAACAGAACACAGAAAACGTTTAAACTGAGGAAATGTACCATTTTATGGAAAAAATAAGGTAATTTTTTATTTAATTTAAGGGAATTTGATGGCCTCAACACAGTCCTCTTTTAAAACTCCAGCAACTGGTCTCCTCAATTCCCATACATACACAGACTGTTGTTAAAAGAAGAGAAGATGCTACACAATAGTAATCATAGCCCTGTCCCAACCTTTTGAGACGAGTTGCAGTCATCAAATTCAAAATGACCTTATTTTTTCCTTAAAATGGTACATTTCCTTTTTCTCAGTTTAAACATTTGATATGTTTTCTGAATATGGGTTTATGATATTTGCAAATCATTGCATGCTGTTTTTGCAAGCTAATTTTTCATAGCATCCCACTTTTTTTGGAATTGGACATTTTTTTTGGAATCTGGTGGTTACCAGTAGATATTGTAATCACTGTGATTATTTTTTCTCACAGATTCTCTCTAAACTGCACTTCATCCCATGAGACTGGAGACCTGCAGAAACCAGTGGAGGATGTCCTACAGAGAGTCAAAAACCAGCACAAAAACAGCATGAAGAACAAGTATGAGAGATTATTTGAGGGACTCAAACTAAAAGAGACTCGAACCCTCCTGAACAGGATCTACACACAGCTCTACATCATAGAGGGAGAGAGTGAAGGAGTGAATGAAGAACATGAGGTGCTACAGATGGAGAAAACAGAACACAGACACTCACAAGACACTCGAATTGACTGCAATGATATCTTTAACCCCCCACCTAAACCAGGATTTGAGGAGAAAGACAAAATAAAGACTGTTCTTACCAAAGGCATCGCTGGAATTGGAAAAACCGTCTCTGTGCAGAAGTTCATTCTGGACTGGGCCGAGGGAAAAGCCAATCAGGATGTAGATTTCATGTTTGTGCTTCCATTTCGAGAGCTGAACTTGATTAAAGATCACCAGTACAGTCTTCACAGACTTCTGCTGGACTTTCATCCTGAACTTCAAGATCTGGACTCAAAGATTTATGATGAATGTAAAGTTGTGTTCATCTTTGATGGCCTGGATGAAAGCAGAATCACACTGACGTTTTCAGATGATGTGAAAGTTTCTGACGTGAATGAGTCTTCATCAGTGGCTCTGTTGATGTCAAACCTCATCAGAGGAGATCTGTTTCCCTCTGCTCTCATCTGGATCACCTCCAGACCAGCAGCAGCCAATCAGATCCCTTCAGAATACATCAACCGTCTGACAGAAATTCAGGGATTCACTGAGCCTCAGAAGGAGGAATATTTCAGGAAGAGAATCAGTGACCAGCATCAAGCCAGCAGAATCATCTCACACATCAGAAGAGCAAGAAGCCTCCACATCATGTGCCACATCCCCGTCTTCTGCTGGATCTCATCCACTGTGCTTGAGAAGCTCCTGGAAGACGATCTGAGTGCAGAAATCCCTCAAACTCTGACTGAGATGTACATCCACTTCCTGCTCATTCAGATCAATATGAGGAAGCAGAAGTATGAAGAGAGAGATCCAGAGAAACTCCTGCAGTCCAACAGAGAAGTGATTGTGAAACTTGCTGAAGTGGCTTTCAAACAGCTGATGAAGGGCAATGTGATGTTCTATGAGGAGGACCTGATTGAGACTGGCTTAGACGTCACAGACTCAGTGTATTCGGGGATTTGCACTCAGATCTTTAAGGAGGAATCTGTCATTCATCAGAGGAAAGTCTACAGCTTCATTCATCTGAGCGTTCAGGAATTTCTTGCTGCTTTCCATGTGTTTTGCTTCCACATAAGCAACACAACAGAAGCATGTTTTGATTCACTGCACAAACTCAATGAAAGAGTAGTAGATACAGCTCTTGAGAGTGAGAATGGCCACCTGGATCTGTTCCTGCGGTTTCTGCTGGGTGTCCCACTGGAGTCCAATCAGAGACTCTTACAGGATCTACTGACACACAACGAGAACAGCTCAGAGAACATCAGGAGAACCACACAGTACATTAAAGAGAAGATCAAAGATGGACATGGACTCTCCACTGAAAGATCCATCAATCTGTTCCTCTGTCTGCTGGAAGTGAAAGATCAGACTCTGTCCAGAGAGATTCAGGAGTTTGTGGAATCAGACAAACACTCAGGGAAGAAACTTGCTCCTGCTTACTGCTCAACAATCTCCTACATGCTTCAGATATCAGAAGAGCCGCTGGATGAGCTGGACCTCAAAAAATACAACACATCAGATGAGGGTAGAAGAAGACTGATACCAGCTGTGAGCAACTGCAGAAAGGCCCTGTGAGTGTTTTATTAAGTTGCAGTTAAAAGTTTTTCTAAATAGAATCGCAATCTTTGTTGTATTTATACATATTGAGTATATGTTGTATATTTTCTTGTTCCACTTCCTTTCAGTCTTGCTGGCTATAATCTCTCAGATAAGCATTGTGAAAGGCCCTGTGAGTGTTTTATTAAGTTGCAGTTAAAAGTTTTTCTAAATAGAATCGCAATCTTTGTTGTATTTATACATATTGAGTATATTTTGTATATTTTCTTGTTCTGCTTCCTTTCAGTCTTGCTGGCTATAATCTCTCAGATAAGCATTGTGAAACACTGTCATCAGCTCTACAATTATCACACTCTGTCCTGAGAGAGCTGGATCTGAGTAACAGTGACCTGCAGGATTCAGGAGTGAAGCTACTCTCGGATGGACTGAAGAGTCCAAACTGTGAGCTGGAGATACTGAGGTCTGTGTTTCACATTAAGTAATTTAGGGGTGGGCGGTATGACCAAAATTCAGTTTCACGATATGATTCATTTTATTTCATGGTAAAGATATATTTCACAATATAGTTATTTATATATGTAGTAACTCTGAACATAGAAAAAAGGGCTTTATATGATAAATAAAATCAAATACTTTAGAAATGAAAAGTACTTCACCTTGTTTGGATTTTATTTTTCTTTTATTTGGTAAATTTGGTATTTATTTTGTAAAAACCCACTCAACATCCACTGCCCCCAGCTGATTGATATTAAATGCAACTTTTAGGTGCAATTAAACTTTAAATAAGGTGTTTCTGAATAATTTTTACATCTCATGTTATTGTTTTACTTAAATCAGTTTAGAATATCTAAATATTTTTATTTAAATATTCTATTCATAATAAATTACATTTAATTCCTTTTAATTTTGTAGAATAGAATACTAGTTATATTGTTTAAATTTGTTCCCTGGTATCTGCTTATTAGACTGTGTTTTAAGGGGTTGTTTTGCTCTTTTTGTGATACTTGGCAACCCTTCACCTGGAGCTTTAATCAAGAGATGGAAGAGTTCAATAGTGACTAGGAGTAGAGTTGCAGTATGAAAAGTGAACATAAGCTACTGTTAGTGCTGACTAAAAAGTTTAAATTATTAACACCTTATAACTGCGTCATTTTTTGAATCCTGCAGCCCGGTGAAGACTGACACGCCGCTCATATTCATATTCGCCTCTTGCGTGTGCGTGCGCGTGTCTTCAGCATCATTATAACGTGATCGCCATAATTTCAGCGTCAAGTTGAGACGTATCGAATCAGAGTAGGTTTTTATTAGCTGGATCCGAATGGTGTTTCATTTGGAGTTAAAAAAAAAACATAATACAGGCTGCTGCATTCTCAATATTTAGTGGTTTTGCCTCAGACACAGGATAGATTCGCTTTAACAAGCAAGTTGTTCATTACCACGGCAACCGCTTGCACGTCCACGTTGATTGCAATTCTCGTGTGTAAAAAATAAACAGTACACATAACAGGTGGAAAGATGCCAATAACAGTACATTAAGGCTATTTCTATTCATTACGACATTGATATTTGAACTGTTGTAGTCAAGTAAACTTAATTCATAACGCTTCCTCCGTACTGCACCTTTGTTCCAACAATATCACATTATTAACAAGAACACACACTGGTGAAAAATGGAATCCTCTATGGATCCTCCTGATCGGTTTGTTCGTCTTTGTCCACGTTTGCATGACAAATGGCAGCGTCTCAGTCTCACACGCGCTGCACGTGATTTAACCACACCTACTTATTTACCTACATTTTGTGGTATACATGGAATAAGCAATCTGTTAGGGTTGACTTTTTTATTTCGCGGTAACGGAATATATCATCATACCGCCCAGCCCTAAAGTCATTCATATGTTGAGTCATGAATATTTACAGGTTAGGGTTTCATACTAACTTTAAAACCACACTCTGAGTATTGTTGCTGTGTCTCTGTAGGTTGTCAGGCTGTATGGTGACAGAGGAAGGCTGTGGTTTTGTGTCTTCAGATCTGAGTTCAAACCCCTCACACCTGAGAGAGCTGGATCTGAGCTACAATCATCCAGGAGAATCAGGAGTCCAGCTGCTCAATGACAAACTGAAGGATCTAAACTGTGCACTGGAGAAACTCAAGTATGTGGGGCAATAAGTAGTTTTTATTCAAGATCAATACTGTTAATCTCAGTTGAAAGAAAAGTAATGAGGACGTTGAAGATCTTGATGAAGATGTTTATTGCAGCATAGCAGTGACAAAGTACATGGCAGTACCTTGGGTTCAATGGTGTCGGAATGAACCAAGAACATCCTAAGCTCAAACCTTTTATACAGTTACAGTTTACTACCCTTCATGTAAATGAAGTTGCTCCTGTTGTTATAGCTGTGGTCTGTATGTTAATGAAGTTCTGACACCCCTTTGTCTGAGATGGTTCTCGGTGTCCCACACCCACTCCCATTCTACAATTGGTCACCATTTGCTCAGGATGTGATCATCCCAAATGGTCTAGAAACAACATAACTGTTGACTTTCTTATTATCTAAAATAATTAAGCCATTTTGGGAAATGAGCATGATCAAACATATATTGTGGAGTGAAATCTGGGTCGGGGCAGACTACAGTTTCTTACACAGTTGAGTTAAATAAATTGAACAGCTATAAGACAGGCATCATATGCAAGATATTTTCTATGCCCTTTAACCATGACAGTGCACAAAAGAGACATGGACGTTTTTTTTCTTTTCTTTTATTATTCAAGGCTTAACCTAAACAATTAAACCAGTCATGTTGTGATGACTTTGTCTTTTTAAGGTAGTTTAAGGCTAGTTGTTCCAGCATTTTTAGAGAAGTTGCAGCAGTTCTTTTGTGGACTCATTTTACAGTTAGACATTCTTATCGTAAATCGTAAGTACTAAATACTTCAAATAAGTAATTTGAACATTAAGTTTACAAATAAGTTTACTCTAACATACAGTAAATGGCAGCAATGCAGGGTCAGACATTTACTTTTCCATTTGGGGCAATATTTGCCCCTGAGCATTTGTTTACTTTCATAAGGGCAATTTTTTATAATTGCCTGATTATTTGCACCTGTGTTGTATTTTTTGTCAAATATTTAAATTTAACTAATTATTTCAATCAATCAGAATACTTTAAACTGGTACCAATAACATGTAACAAAATTGACATTTGAATGGTTATTAATGTTGATTTATACAATACATATAAAAACTTTTTGTGTTTGCAGTAACGGCGTGTCATATTCCGGCTGCACAGACAAATATGTCGGTCTATGAAGTTTGCAAAAACTGTTTGTATACAGGGTGCAATGAATCTTACATTGTGTCTGCACTTTGTTGTTTATGATGAGACAGTTTGCAGGCATGCAGAATTCAGTCAGTGAGTACGTACACTCAACAAAACTCTGGTATTTTCAGCAGTGACTAATCTAAACTCCTCTGATTGGCCATTGCATTCAAAAGCGCAACAGAAACATATTACATGGCATATTGTTCTCATGCTGTTTTATCTTTCTGCTGTTGAAACACTGGCTGAGCTATTACATGAGACATGATACATTTCAGTAAGTTATTCTATATCTTTCAACATACTTTCTGACATTCATACATGTTTAATTTGTGTTATAACTAGTAGTTAAGCAGGAGAGATAATTGGTTCACTTGCACTCCGTGCTGCTGTTTGAACTCATCTGTCCCGCCACATAAAGAGTATCAAACAGCATTTAATGTTTGAATTTCATGCTAAAATTTAAAGACTTTGAATGCTCAGACTTTGTTTCTTATCAGAATTAGCGAGAAGGGTCTGGCTGCAGCCTTGCACTTGCACTCTCAGACTTGCATTCTCAGATTTGCACTCTCAGACACTTGCACTTCCTCTAGCGACGTCACTTGTAGTCTTTTATTTTTTTATTTTGTTCTATTTATTGATTACTTTTTGTTTGAATCTCTCAACATTTTGCAACAGTAGCCAGGTGGTGAAGACAAGAAAAAAGAAACTAAATTACAAAGTCACTTGCAATCTTCACTTGCACTCTCCGCTACCTGCGACGTCACTTGCAATCGACACCAATCGTGCGTGTTGCCAATGGAGACAAGATGCTGTGGTGGTGATTAAACGATTAAAACTAATTTAGTACCGTAACCTACAGGGTCCTGCAAGAAAAAGACAAGACCCGCAAATCCGTGGCCACAGAACAGCAGAATATGAACGCAATGCACAAAGTCTCTTGTTAAGCATTTTCCTCCTGTAGAAAAACGTAAACACTTAATATGGCTTAATGTATTAAGATAAATTAAGTTCAATTAAAAGATCAAATTTGATATATAGTTATTATTTAATGTACTACAAGGCAAACAGATGGCTATGATCACAATGCGCAAACTTTCACTTGTCCTCCCATACAGCAAATGCTTAATGTGGCATAATAACGGACTAAGATTATAAAGACAATCCAGTAGCCTATATGTCTAGTTGTTGACTCAAAGTATATACAGACAAACAGATATGAATGTGCATTATGAAATGCATTAAGTGATTTTAAAAGGATCAACTCCGTACAGACAAGCAGACGAGCCCAGAACAAAAAGTTACAAAATAAATAAATCCTGCAAGTGACGTCGCTAGCGGAAGCGCAAGTGTCTGAGAGTGCAAGTCTGAGAATGCAAGTCTGAGAGTGCAAGTTTGTGAGTGCAAGTGCAAGGCTGCAGCCTGACCCTCTTGGAATTAGCAGCACAAAGCTTGTTGCGATTGGTTTTGTTTAGACATCAAATGAAAACAGCATAGACTAATAGATTGATTTTAAAGGGGTCCTATTATGCTCTTTTACAAAGTCTTGATTTTGTTTTGGGGGTGTCGTTAAGCGTTTTCCTCCTGTAGAAAAACATAAACACTTAACATGGCGTAATGTATTAAGATACATTAAGTGCAATTAAAAGATCAAATTCGATATATAGTTATTATTTAATGTACTACAAGGCAAACAGATGGCTATGATCACAATGCGCAAACTTTCACTTGTCCTCCCATACAGCAAATGCTTAATGTGGCATAATAACGGACTAAGATTATAAAGACAATCCAGTAGCCTATATGTCTAGTTGTTGACTCAAAGTATATACAGACAAACAGATATGAATGTGCATTATGAAATGCATTAAGTGATTTTAAAAGAATAACTCTGTACAGACAAGCAGACGAGCCCAGAACGCAATGCGTTAAATTGTACGTTAGACATTTTCCTCCTATAGAAAATCATTATAAATAAAACACATAATGTAGCTTAATGGACAAAGTAAATTTGACGCTACAGCACAGCAGCTTCTTGGTTTTCTCTGATGCACTAACTCTGCAGCAGCACTTCTTCGTCGTCTCGTCTGATGCACTCACTCAACCAAGCGTTCTAACCACAACCTCGCCCCTCCCCACCCCCCAA